AGTGGTGACCTAGGTGGCATCCCATGCACATATTGCCAGTTGATGAGCTGTGCAAGCCCAGGTAGCTTCTGGCAGACCCTTTGGCTTCATCAGGGTTCTTAGTTTCAAGCAACAAAAATCAATTCTGACTGATTTAGTAGCAAAGGAAGTGGGCAGCTCACAGAATCATTATGAGGGTTGGGAACCAAGCTCAGAGCTGCACAGCCAAGAACAATGGCCCCAAATCATGCCGCAGAAACAGCTCGGTGAAAAGACTGCTATTACTGATGCTGCTTGGCATGCTAGACACTGCCTCCTTCCTCTGCCATCACCACCAACCTGGGACTGTAATTTGGCCACAACTGCACTATTGCCAGAGAGAGAACTGGTTGCTGTCCTTGCTTCTTTGCATTACCAGCTCTCTGCTTAAGGCCGTGCAGGTGCTTTTGATTGGCTGAGGACAGGTCATGCACCTGAATCCAGGCTGCAAGTAAGAATAGTAAAGTATTTGACAACTTCTGTAAGCTTCTAGACAGAGAGAACTGGGCTTTACTTTCTTCCATGACTCACATGTCAGTGAATTCTCCAACCTCAGAGAGTTCAGAAAAGACAACCAACAAAAAAGATATCCTTTATAAACAGCCTTGCACAAATGGTGGTTCATGGAGTTTAGCAGCATCAACATTAAGCAGGAGCTTGTTAGAAATGCAGAATCTCAGGTCCTATTATAGATCTGCAGAATCGGGATCTGCTTTCTAACAAGTAGCTAAGGTAATTTGTATTCACATTAAAGTTTTAGAAGGGTTGCTCTACATCATACGACATGTAATTCTTTCTAATTTTCAAAGATCAGTCACCATTAGGCTCTATTCATCCAAGGGGTTGGCAGATTTAATGCAAGATGTCCAATTAAATTTGGATTTTAGATCAAGAACAAATCATTTTTAGAATAAACATGTTCCATGAAATATTTGGGACATACTTATACTAAAAATTATTCTTCGTGTATCTGAAATTCAAATTTAACTAGGTATCCAGTATTTTATCTGGCAACCATACTCATCTATTTTGACATGGTAGACTATGAGTATCATGGGATCAGAACATGGAAAATTTACACAGTTTCAAGCCCATTCTGAGTTCTGTTTAAGCATTTAATACTTGAGGTCCCCTATAATATGAAGCATGAATGTTCTGTTAACCCTGAATGTTAACTGTCCTGTAGGGTAAGAGTTAATTTTTTAATATACCTATGAATTGCAACTAACTCATTTAATGAATTTGACCAATAACATCTTTGTCCCACAGCACCTGACCCCATGAACTGAGTAAATAAAAGAAATAAGTGATGACAATCACTGTTGGCTTCTCTCTGGAGACTGCTATTATAATTTCATTTTCTTTCTAAAGAAAAGGGTTGCTGCCTATGCCTAGGAATTTTAGAAAAATAGCTTTCAAACATTCTGTTTGGAAAAAAGACATATTGTGTGATACATCAATTGGAATTAGAAGCATCACATTCAAAAATTAAAGAAAACTTTTAGTACTCCAAAATGTATACTGACTGCATTTGTTTGGAAGATGGTTTAATTCACTTTAACATTTTAGCCAGTCCAAATATTTCCAATCAGCCAAATAGGGAATTTTGGATGGTTGAGAGATGGCAAATTTCCTTTTATAACCTATTGCATAGTTATCAGTGAGCCACCTCCAATACCGTTGATCAACAAAAATCTTCCATTTATCACACTCCCACCAATATCTTAGCCTCTTGGCTGGCGATGAAATGTCCAGGGACTGTGAGAGGAATTGCAGTTCCAAGAAGCAAAATATCCTTAGGGGCTGATGAGTGTTAGGAACTAAATATACAGAGTCTACCTCCCAACCAGAGGTTTTATATTATGTTTGTTGCCTCCTTTTAATTGATTGTTTGCAAGCTCTACCCTAGAGGCAGATGTCTGTAATAGGTAAATGATGTATCCTGGTTTATGGGTCAGGCCGTAAAATGGGTCAATTGACTAGCCTTTCTTTAAACATTGAATAGTAGAAAAAAGATTTATAAGTATACCATCAGTCACTTATAGTATATGTTATTTCTATGAAATAGCTAAGTACTTAATTTATGGTAGAGAATATTTAGAAACTACCTAAAACCTCTTCCTCCCCAGTAGTGGACTGATTAAATAAATAATGTTATATGCGTAAGATGTAGCCATTACAAATCATATTTTCCAGGGCTGCTTGGAAAATGGCTGATTCTAGGTCTGGAGCAAAAAATTATGAGATGATCCTGGAACATCTTTTCATACAAGAAGGTAAGTATCAAGGACTTCTGAGTAATGTCAAAAGGGACACGGCAGCCAACTTGAAGATGCTCGCATTGGTCAAAGAGGAGACAATGTGAGCATGAATTAGTATAACTATGTAATGGACTGAAGCATATTGTACATGTTTCAATCTATTAGCTCAGATTGATACTCTAAAACAAAAAACTATTGGTATCCCTGGAACATGCAAAGAAACTGACTCATTCTTTTGAAAACTGGTAAATAGAATGAATCAAGCATCTATCTCACTTCTCATATACAAGTTGTACCTCAGGGTAACCTACTAGTGGATGAGAGGAAATTTCTATTTACAGAGTATTCCAGCTAATAATCACTGCAGAAATGATAGAATAGCATCATATTGTAATCTCCAACGAAATAATGCAACCAGGAAATGATCATCAATGATGGTTAACTTCACAAAAAGAGAGACGAGCAGACATTACTTGCCTTGTGTACATAACATCACATATGAAAGATTCTTGCCAAAAATCAAACTAGAATTTGATCAAGCCTATATATCTAAATAACAATTTACAGAAAATACAGATGATAAAGGAACACATTAAATGACATCAGGAGAGTTACAAACAGAAAATCTAGATTATGGAAAATCCTACAGGACAAAGAACACAGCTTTGCTTTAACAAATCAGTTGAAAGAGTAGGAGGGGGAAGCCATAGATGAACATACTCAACACATATCAAACAATCCACTGTGTGGATCTTATTTGGATCTCAATTTAAACAAATCAACTGTAATAAAAAACATTCATAAGATAATTGGGGGAAATTTGATTTGAAATCACCATCTTGAAGAGATATCTGTATTCTCAAGTTCATTGCAGCATTATTCACAGTGGTCATCTACATTCAGTTACTTTCTGAATATTTGATGCTATTAAAGCATTTTTCTGAACACTGTAGATCTGACAATGATATTGTCATTATATTTTTTAGACGCATCCTGTCATTTCTTTTTTGTTTTGCTTTTTCTCCCCAAATCCCCCCAGTACACAGTTGTGCACTCTTAGTTGTGGCATGTGGGATGCCGCCTCAGCGTGGCCTGAGGAGCGGTGCTGTGTCCGCACCCAGGATCTGAACCAGCAAAACCCTGGGCTGCTGAAGCTGGAGCGCACAACTTAACCACTCAGCCATGGGGCTGGCCCCCAAAGCATCTTATCTTTTATATAGGTATAAGTGCTGAACTATTTGTGGATGAAATGATTTGATGTTTGCTTCAAATTAATCTGGAGGTGGGAATACTGAATAATTGTTGAAGCTAGGTGGTAGGTTCAAGGGCATTCATTATACTATTCTTTCTACTTTTGTATGTGTTTGAAAATTTTCACAAAATAATAGGTTTTAAAATTTGTTTAGAGTATGATCTCAATTTTAAGTTTGTAATATAAATTGCTGAGAATTAGTTCCCACTTGAGCATATGTCCCCCCCCCCTACTGTCTTACCCATTACCTGATCATCCTAATGTTTCAAGTAGTTCTTTACATTCTCTATGTGTACCTGTCTCCAAATCAGTCCAATTCTATAGACGGAGGAAAAAACACCCCGCAGATGATGCGTATTGATGGGACAGTTGCATTCTTGTGCTCTGTCCTTCTGGGACCGGTACTTTTTGAGATGGTCAGGAATGGAAGACTGATCTGTAGTGAAGAGACCCCTGCTTCTCTGAGAGAAGTTAACGGATCCTTTGGGGATGAGCCTATGATTTTTGATCTCATTAGCATCGTGAGCTCCATTCAAGTGTGACTGACAGTCACACAAGTCAATACAGGAGCACTTTGGGACAGCCAAGTTAGAGAGTTTTTTTCTCATAGATTAGTGCTTCTGTTCTTACAGAGCTCATCAGAAAAACAAATCAGAGCACTTTTGATTCAACAAATGAATGTAATGAAGCTGCATTTCTAAGAAAACTGCATTATTGGGCTAAAAGAGAAATATACTAAATTGCTTGTTCAAATAAAAACATTGCTGAAGGAAATGAAAGTATAGTCTAGATGATTATTAATGCTTTCATTTTCACTTTCTTTAATCCTGGCTCAAGCCATATCTAAAGACTAAGTGCAACCTCACAGATTTAGAAAGCAAAGAATATTTATATCTTTGCCAGTTTTAATCCCAGCAACCATACTTTATAAAAAATAGAGTAAGGTCAAGATGGAATACCATCAGACCATTAGAAATAGAATGGAAGAGGGTAGCCAAAGACCTGGGAAATTGTGAGCCAGTCCCATCTAATATTTTCCCCAGGTTTCCTTCCCAATTCCAGAGGAAGTAAAAGATGTTTGAAATATTCAATAGCATCCTTTTATGATGCTACTGAATATAGTTTGAAAGCTTAAGGTGATATTTAAAGATTAGAAACAATAAAAAAAAAACCTATAGGTTTATAACGCAAATGAAGAAGGAAAAATTATAGTGAGATATTTTGGATTTAGAGAAGAATGTGCCAAATCACCAAAACTTAATGTGTAATTGTGTAAAAATGCTAGTGCAGTGAAATTAGAAATTCAACAGATGGTCCCAAAAGAAACTATTTCTGTAGTATATGAGAACAATTGTTCCCTAACTCCTCTCCAATGAAAATGTGGATAATTAACTGCTATCTAAATCCTCCAATCCAAGTCAATCAGTTCCTTTTATCAGATCTCCCAGGGGAATGAACTCAAGACCAGGCAACTTTCACTGAAAATATAATTTCTCATTTAATTAATAAACAATTACTGAGGGATTATTGGGTTTGGAGAGAAGATTCAGTTATTAATGATAAAAGGAAAATATAGCCTTTACCACCGAAGAGCCCCTAGTTGAGGGAAGCTAGGCATATGTGCCAAAGAACTTGAGAATATTGGCCATGTATTCTGCTGATTTCTCATAAGTGTTAAAATAGACAATAAAGACTATAATAGACTGAATTTGCCTAAGATACTAATGACTTGTAAGAAAAGATTTATAAGATCTGACACGTGGTGAGAGCTGAACTCAGTATCATCTAGTGTTCTTTTTCTGGACTTTTTACCAGCAATAACTTTTGCTTTTAGCAATCATTTAAAAATGATTAATTAATATGCAATTTATTCCTTCAGCATTGCTCTACCTTGTTAAGTACATTTCTCCAATGGTAGTTACCTATTCAGGGTAAATACACTCTGGCAGCCCACTTCGTGTTCATCTTTATTATCCTGAAACATCAAGGACCTCACAGGGCCACCCTTCTAAGGCACTGTTTCTCAAACTTTTAGTGTGCATCAGAATCACAGGGAGGACTTGTTAAAAAATTGATTGCCAGCCTCACCCTCAGAGTTTCTGTGATGAAGCTCCACTCACAGAGCAGGTCTAGGATGGAGCCTAAGAATTTGCATTTCTAATTAGTTGCCAAGTGATTTTGATGCTACTTGTCAAGAGACCACACCTTGAGAACCACTGTTCTAAGTGATATCTATCGGCTTATTTTCAAAAGTAAGAGAGATGAGGTCACAAGAGGAGCTGAGGAAGCTGAGAAAGAATTTTTTTACCCTTATGATAATCTCAGGCCTGGCTCTGTCCATATAGCTAAGGCCAATCTCTTCCTTTCTGGAGGGTTCTGTTTGTGAGTGTCTTTTTAAGGTAGGCAACCCCTAACACATATGTGCTCATCATGGCTTGATGGAAGTCAGCTTACATATTTGGAAGATGTTCAGGCTATACCCATAGATTAAGGATTAATTATTTCCAAAATAGATAATAAGATAAAAGAACAGAGAATTCTTACCATATTAAAGCACATGTAATAAGTGCCTCCTATTCCAACAAAGTAAAACTTCTATACACTAAAAACCCAAATACTAGAGGGTGGTATGTGATCAAAATAGGAAAGGGATGGATCTTCTTAAAATAATTGTTGAGAGTGTTGTCAATTCCAGACACCATGTTGTCTTTCCAGGTGATGAAGAATGAGATTGTTGCTGAGAGTAAGAAGAATCTCATAAAATCTTAGCCATCTAAACTTAGAGCTTTTTTGATTATCCTCATTCTCTTTCATTCCCCACTTTTCTTTCTTGATAAGTGAGTGCAGGTTCTTTAATACAGTGAGCTGAATAAAGGATTAAGTAATTTAGTATAGATATCTAATTCAGAGCATTGCACTCAATAAACGATTGAGGACTATTGTTTGGTCCACTGGAAAAAATAAGTTGAACCCCTACCTCACTCCTTATGCCAAAATAAATTCCAGACAGGTTAAAGATGTAAACACAAGACAATCAAACTACAAAAGTTCTAGAAAAAATTATGAGTGAATTTTCTTTTCTATAGTCTCAAAAGGAGATAGACCTTTTAAGTGTGACATATAACCCAGATGACCATACAGGATGAATACTTTGGACTACATGTAACTGTTTTTTAAATATGCATGTAAAAAATAAAGACAAATTATAAGTAAAAGTATTTGCAACCAATATCACAGAAAGAGGGTTAGGTCTGATATTAAGAGCTCTACAAATCAATAAGGAAAAGACCAACAACCTAATGACAAAATGGCAGCTCCAAACATACCCTGTGTTCTTGTGTTGCTCACTTCTGAAGTTTTGAGCAGGTGCCTACGTCATAAGTCTGTGTCCTGGCTGCAAAGGGTCTTGGGAATTTTTTGGCTCTGATACACATTAGAGAGGCAGGAGTCATATCATGGGAATGCCCTTTAATACAGAAAGGCTGTTTAAAAGATAGTGGACATTCATGACTATGACAAATGTCCACTGCTATTCTTCTGCAGGTTTTATCATAATGTTGGTCAGTAGGAAATTATGGATGCAAGTTAATTTTCATTTTTCAAAAGCCTGGTTACTTTCATTTTTCAAAAGCCTGGCTACTTACTTGGAAATTCAGCTGCTATTTTGAAGACTAAATAGCCTTCTGTCACTCATTTATTCTTTCAGTTTTTCATAAGCCCAACAAATATTTATTAAGCACATACTATGTACCTGGAATACACTAATGAACAAAACAGAAAAAAATTTCTGCCTCTATGGAGCTTATATTCAGGTGGGATGTCTTTAGTCCCTGTTGGTACTCCACATGTTTTCAAACTTTTTTTCCAAATAAGGACAGAATAAGTGGGTGGAGCAGAAGGAGTAATCTGTATGTTTATCAGCTTTTCCAAGACAGTTCTATTAGTTGGTCCAGTGTTGAGGCACCTGCCTCTTCAAATACATGGGAAAGATGTATTCCAAAAAGGTATTTACTCTTTGAGATGATTCCTTCCTCGTAGTGAATAAATGAGATTTGACTATAAGAAATATATATACTGAATTTGACTATATTCAAAAGAGAATACAATAATTAAATAAGAGGATTCCTTGCTTGCCAAAAGTTCAGAGGACACTAATATTTTCAGAATGCTTTAGAGATGCTGAGAAAATAGAGAGCAAAAACTGTACGTACATTTGTAAGTGATGCCACTGTGTGTTCTGTCTGGGACCCAGTTGGGTATATCTCTGTATCCCTAACTCACATTGACCCAAACCAGAGAGGAGGAATATTTGGTTTTAAAATGATATACAGAGTTATTTTTAAAAGACTTCCAAATTATTAATTCATTTAGCAAATATTTTTTTTTCTTCAGGATGTTTGAAGGCCTTGTTCCATTGCACTCTGGGTTCCAGTGTTGTTAAATAATGGATGCCATTTTGATTTTTAGTCCTTTGTATTTGTTCTGTTTTGTGTTCTCTCTAGAAGCTCGAAGGTCTTCTCTTTGGTTAGTGTGTGCTCAAATTTCCTGATCACATGCTTTGGTATAGATCTCTTTTTATCCACTGTGGTGGGTACTTGGGGAACCGATTTAATTAATTAACTCATGTACTTTAATTCTGGAAATATTTCTTAGTTTATTCCATTGATGATTTTCCTCATTTTTTCCCCCTCATCTTGCTTTCTGGAGCCCTTATTGTTTGGATTTTGAACTTCCTGAACTGGTCCTCTCTGCCTTTTGCTCTGCCTTATAGAACATTTCCTTAACTTTCTCTTCCAATCCTTTTTATCAAGGTTTTTTTTTTTTTTTTTTTTTTTTTTTCCCATTTATACTCTCCTGTTTTCAATTCTAAGTGCTCTAAATGTCTCACATAATAGTAGCTTCCCTCACATGTCTGATCATCCTTTGTTGTCTGCTCATATTTAAGAATAGGGCCTCAAAATGCTTATGGGAAACTCTGAGTGAATGGGTGGGGGGTTGTCAGCTGTCAACTTCCCTGTAGAGTGATTTGTTGGGGCTTATAGTTGGGGAACCTTCCATGTCAGTGTCTTCAGATCCTTCCTCTTGAGTTGATCAGACTCCACATAGAAGGATCTTCTAATCTCTTCCTTGGAAGTTGAAAGCTTCATGACTGGAATCTGGGAGCCAAGTTGGTGAAGAAATTTGGGGTCCTCAGCATCCAATATACAAATGTTCACTTAATCCCCCTACCCTCTAGAGACCTGCCATATCACCATCTGCAGAGAGGAAGTTTGTAGTATTTTGCCCAGGTAAGTGAGGAGGTTTGTTTGCTTGACTACATGGAGCCGAGAAGGGAATCTGGGGGATCTGATTGCCTCTTATTAAACAGATTTGCAACCAATCCTCCTTATAGTACTTCCCCCTTTCCTCACTTCACTTCAAGAGGAACCGGGAGCTGGCAGTTATGAGTCTTTTGGTGACAGTGCAGTATACATGGGTTTGGTTATTGATTTACTTCATTTCTGCCTTAAGATTCAGTTTTGTTAGTCTACTACATCTTTTACCACTCTTCCACTTTTCCAGCTAAAACTTCTCAAATTTTGTTGCTGTTGTCTCCTCTTTGGCTCCCCGTGCTTTTAATTCTTAAAAATTCATTTTATGACATGATGTGATCTACTGCATTTACTTTAACTTAACCTGGGGGTGGAAAAGCAGAAGGAAAGAGATGAAGAGTCCATAATTATTAAAGATTGGTGATTAAGTACATGGAGGTTCTTAATACTATTCTATTTTTTTTATAGGTTTGAAATGTTCTATGATAAAAATATTTTTAAAAATCCCTTTACTGATGTCTTAATGTGATTTTAGGACGGAGCAAAATTTGGAGCATGTGTTAAACTGCCATACCTACCTAAAAGTGCAGAACCATTCATTTTTCAACAAATATTTATTGAGCATCCGCTAAGTACTAGGCACTGTGCCAAAATACACACAGGAATATGGAAAAGAGAGGTTATTATTCATTTTACTTAATCAACTCTACTGAGTTATTAAAAATTAAAATCTATGGCTCTCTAGGTTTGATGTTTTAGTGTTTGACAGTTTTTTTCCTTTTCTGACTGCTGAATTGGTCTTGACTTTGGTGTAAATATATGCTTTCATGAAATATGAAAGAAGGAACACTAACGTGGAAAAAGACATTGAATATAAGATGGAGCATTAAGGGGTATCTCCTCAAATCTAAAAATAGCATTCATACAAGCCATTTAATGGTTTAAATAATAAATGACACTAGCAAGGAGTAAAGAACCCTTTTCTCTACGAACAGAGAGAAAAGGCAAAATCCATACCAGGAAATCCCACAAAGGTGAGGGATTCTTGCTAGCTGACAGAAAAGAATGAGGAGAGTGGACTGTTGATGACTAGTAGAATCTGGCTTATGATAGAGTGGAAAATCTTGGCTATTAGTTCATTAGTGATGGGAATGCCGTGAACTAAAGGCAATACCTCTTATTAAACAAATTGTTACATAAAATTGGCCCCTTTAGTCCCAAGAGGACAGTTTTGGAAAAGAAAGCACAGGCTCTTAGCCTCTCTCCTATGGAGCAGGGGGCTACAAGGGAGTCCATTACCCAACAACTTTGGTTCTAAGTGGATAATCTTAGGAGGCCAGTCACTCTATCTAGACAGCAACTTGCCGCTTGACTCGATTAGCTCTATTCTCTCTCCCCCTCCTCTTCTCCTTCTCTGAGTTTTTTAATACTTGCCTTGTAAACAAGAGGCCAAGGTCAAGTCAATCTCCCAAAGAAGCAAAGCCCATTGCTTTGGCTGCTTTTCCTTTTGACTGTAAAGGCCTCTCTGGGCAGCTCCGGTCTCCCTGATAAAATTGTGTGCGTTTGTGTTTTCGAGTGTAGGGTGGGGGGCTCTTAGAAAGTACATCCTGAAACTATGCTGACAGAATTCCTGTTGTCTGCCTAGTGGCAGGCTAAGGTGAATGGAGAGTGAACTAAAATCTATCAGATTGTAACCTTTTTGAGGGCAGGGTGGGTTTGAGACTTTCTGTTCCTCACAGCATTTAGCACCATGCCTTGTATGTAAGAAATGTTCGTAAAATATATTTCAATATTGATTTGTTGATATTGATAAACTTACACTATAGAAACGATAGTATTAATTATCATTGAATTTGTATTACTGGTTGTTTCGCTAAGCTTTTCAATAAAGCCTTCTGGCTCTATCTAGCAAGGTCAGCAAAGGCCCAGAAATGAGTTACAAGTGACACAAAGCTCCCGTTTTTATACTCTTTTTGTCTTCCCTATATGTCAGGAGTATTATAGGAAATCCATTTGTGGGGATAATATTCCCCTATTAAAAATGATACATGCAAAAACTACATTACAGTGTGAAAAATAAATTCATGTTACAAAGTCAAATGACTGATAAATTTAATTCCAGCCCCTCTTTTTTGAGTGTCTACTATTCACTTGGCACTCTGTTAGGTGCACAGTATGGACAGATACACGGCAGTCCCAGCCCTTAAGGACTGCCCAGTCTAATGCGGAAAATAAAGTATAAAACAATATGGGCAATACAAGATATGAAAAACTTCACCAGTCAGTCGCACAAGGGAGTGAGGGAGCCTCCATGACTAAGGGTTTGGGCAGATAGCTATTTCTTCCTCTGAATCAGTTGCATGAGAAGCTTGAGAAGAAAATGGCTCCTCTTATCTCTTGAACTAGCATAAATCCTTCAGATGGAATTACATGCCTTCTCCTTTTCCCAAGATTTCTCTTCAGTTTTACCACTGAGCCATAGTATCTTATCACTGGACCGGCACCTTAAAAGTTCTAGTCAGACTTCCCATCTGATGTTTAGGTCTTGGCTTCAAAAAATGGTTACTGGGCCTACACTGCTTAGAACACACTAGATTACAAATAGCAGAAAACTCGAATCCTGTTGGTTTAATCAATGAAGGCAGACCTGGGTTCAGAAGCTGTTTGATCAGAGGCTCAAAAACCTTACCAGAGGGGGTGCCCCAGTGGCATAGGTGTTAAGTTTGCTTGCCCGGCTTCGGTGGCTTGTTTCACAGGTTCAGATCTGAGGTGCGGACCTATGCACTGCTCATCAGGCCATGCTGTGGTGGTGTCCTACATACAGAATAGAGGAAGATTGCCACAGGTGTTAGCTCGGGGCCAGTCTTCCTCATCAAAAAAACAAAAACAAAAAATCACCAGAGATCACATGTCTTCCTGCCTACCCTTTCTCCACGTTTGGTTTATTTTAACCTACTTGGCCCTGTGGTTGCAAGATGGCTGCCCACAGTCCAGGGGCTCCTTGACTTTTTTTTTTTTCCTGCACAACATGCTGGTGATATTCCTTCAATTTTTTTTGGTTGTTTTTATGCTCCTTGATTTTTTGAGTATGTGCTTCTTTCTAGAGGAGGTTGCCTTTGAAGCTCTCTTGGAATATGAAACAAACGAACGAAAACTTTCCCAAAAGCCCTGAGCAAATTGCTCCTTTCACTGGCCCAAATTTTGTCATGCCCATTGCCAACCAATAAGTGTAGCAGGGAATGGCACTATGCTGATTTATTTAGGTTGGAATTATGCTAATTTGCTTATATTGGAAGCACAGGCTCCAGCAGGCAGCCAGGGCAGAGATGTGATGCTAAGAACAGGGAGTGTTCACCTAGATAAGGGGCAGTGGATACTGGGGAGGCACACAGTATGTGGCATAAGGTCCAGGGCGTAGCCATTGACATCATGGAAACCCCTATCCCCAAGCTACAATCGCCTCCTCCCGCTGGACAGCTCCGGGGGTAATAAAGTACAATAACTGCAAATTTGCAGCTGAATCTACCTTCTTGTTTCCATGCAAGTCTGGGCTCTAACGGCTTCTTCTTGCCGTGCTGTTGTCTTCAAGGCACTGGCTGCTTCCTTTAATTTGTTACTTTCGATGTGCCTTCTTTCCTCACAGTGTTTCTTCTGCCTCGTCCTTACTGCACTCACTACCAAGAGTCAAAACACGAGTTGCCATTCGAGGAAACCTTACTTCTATCTCCAATTTAAAAGAAATTGAGGTTTAGTTATTTTGTCTTCCTTCCTTCTCCTCCGTGTGGTGCTTCTTCAGGCCAAGTTCAGAACTTGCTCCAAGACGGTGGCTGTGCGACAGAACCTCCCTGGGCCGTCTCTGTAAAGTGAAGGGACCGGCTTGATCCATTTCCAAGGACTGGTCCCGCTGTGCAATTCGGTGGCCCCGAATGGGATTCGGGTGGGATGAGGTGGTTGTAGACGTGGGGGCTTGAGTGAGTGGAGTGTTTGGGAACCTGAAGCCCACGCTGCTTGGCGTGATTTGTGGGGGGGGTTTGCTCCTTCTGCGTTCCGCTCAGCCACGCATTTGACCAACCGCCCCTACGCCCAGAGCGGACCCAGGCGGCCGGGCCTCCCTTCCCCGCGCACGCCGAGCGCTGCGCGGCCTCGGGGACTGGAGCCTCCGGTCCCGGCCGAACGCGGCGGCCGGCGTCCAGCGCGGCTGGCTCGGAAACGGCAGCCTTCAGGGCTCTGCGGCTTCGGGCCGGGCGGCCCGGGCAGCCGATCCAGATGCGTCTGCAGCTGCGTCTCCGCCGCTTCGCTTCGCGGCCTGAGGCAGGAGCCGGCCAAGCCGCGCCTCAGTGCCCGCCGCCCGGATCCCGGGGGCCCGGACGAGGCGTTCTCGGCGGGCGGCCGGGCCCTGCCTCGCGGGGTGTCTGCGAGCGTCGCCCGCCCCTCCCCGCCGGCCCGACTCCGGCCCGCCTCACCCCACCGCGGGCTTTGTCCACCGGCCGCGCGGCGGCCCCTCCCCGTTCGCGCCGACTCCTCCCCGCCCCCTCCGCCGGCCCCACTTCCTCGGCGCAGGCGGCGGGAGCGGGCCGGGGCCGAAGGGGTTAACTCGGGGCTCTTCCCGGCGCGGAGGGATCCGGAGCCGAGCCGAGCGCGGTGCTGAGGCCGCCTCAGCGAAAAAAATGTCCGCCTGAGGAGACCCACAAGTTCTATTCGGGGGGACCGCCAGCCCGCCCCGGGAGGAAGGGGCGGCCAGGCCCGAGAGCCGCCTGCCCCGCCCGGATCCGAGAGCTCGCGCGGGGCAAAGTGAGCCGAACCGCCGGGCGGTGCAAGGGGAAGCCCGAGCCCGCTCTCCCGGCCAAAGTGAACTTTAATCGGGGTGGTTGGATGCGGAGACGGGGTGGCAGGTAATTGCGGGCAGGCGAACGGGAGGGGGACGCCGCGGCGGGGCTGGGGGCTGCAGGGCGCCGCCGCCTCCCTGCCGGGGCACAGACGCCCCCGGCCCGCGCCCCTTTGTACGGAGGCGAGCCCGGGGTCCCCTCCAAGTTGGGGAGCGGAGTGGGGGCGGAGGCGAGAGTCGCGGGCGGCGAGGCCCGCGGGCGGCGCGCTCGGCCTGCGCGCCACGCTCCGCGCTCGGCTCGGGCTCCGGGAGCGCGGGAGAGCGGGCTGCCTCGGCCGCCGCGCCGGGCTCATTGTTCGGCTGGTTCGGTGCCGGCCGGCCGCGGGCAGGGCAGCAAAAGTGGGAGGAGGCCGAGCCCGGGGAGGAGGACGCGGGGCGAGAGCGAGACTAGTTGTCGGGGTTTCTGTTTTCTTTTTCCAAACGCCCCTCGGACGCGCGGAGGGTGCTTTCCGACCCCCCGGGTCCGCCGGGGACGTCCGGGCGGCGGCGGCCGCGGCCGCGGGCCTGCGAGCGGCGCGTTCCCTGCAACTTGTCAGTTCTATTGTTGCCGAGCCGGTGAGTCACTTCGCATCGCCCCTCGCCGCCGCTCCGCTCCGCTCGCTGGATGCCCCATCGCCCCTCACCCCGCCCCTCGAGACCCCCGCCGGCTCGGCCCAGCGCGCCCAGCCCCCGGCGGCGGCGGGGGAGGGGGCGCCGGAGGGAGCAGGGTCGGGCTCGGAAACTTGCGGGAGCCGCGGCGAGTTGCGGGAGCCGCCGCGTCGCTCCCGGGCCGCGCCGAGGAGGAACGCGTGGATTCGCAGAGCCGGCGCGGGCGCCGGGCTCTCCTGCCCCCTGCCCGCGCGGCGGTGGGAACGAGGGGAGTGTTAGAAGTCAGCCCGGCGCTCTTCCTCTCTCCCTGCGCCCCTCTCCATCCCCTCCCGCCCTTGGGGCCTCGGTGGTCTCTGGCTGAGCCTGTTTCCTCTGTCTTAGGACCTGCTAGAAGTGGCCGAAGATGAATCCCCAACAGCAGCGCATGGCCGCTATAGGGACCGACAAGGAGCTGAGCGACCTGCTGGACTTCAGTGCGGTATGAGAGCTTTCCACGGCATCTTGGGGTTCTGCTGAGGTTTACTGAAGAAAAAAAAAAAAAAAGGGAAGAAAGGGGTGGGGGGAAGCGACGTGGAGACTAGGCAGCGTGAACTCCATCTGCTTTGAGTGGTAGTTCTCAGGGCTGGAGTCCAGCTCCCCCAAGTTGGACACCTGAACTTTGATGTAATGTCTAGACTTGCAGATTTAAAACTTTTATGCCGGAGGGGTCATTTGATTTAACCAGTTAAAAGGAGTATAATGTAATCATGAGCTTCGGTTGAGTCACCCTCTGACCCTGATGATTATTAGGGATTTTGAACTTCATATGAAAAAGGAAAATTATTTTTTCTTCGAAACTCCTAACCGTTTCCCTCCCCAAAATGGGATACAATTTATGGTACCTGAAAGACGTCAGTTAGAAGAAAGCCAGTCAGGGGCTAGAGTTTCTAGCCTTTTTGGGTTGAGCATTTTTAAGATAAATATATACTTATGTGTAGGTATATATGTAAAGAATACATCTGTGTGTATATATTTTTAAATTTTTTAACGTGGGAAATAATTGAGTGACTTAAAAATATCAGCAGAAACCAAAGCACCTACTGCCCTTATTCCTAATGGATTGAATTCCTTTATTAACTGCTCTTAGCAGGCAGGACCAATACCTACTTTATAAAACTGTGTTATAATGGATCCTTATTGTATGTAGTGGTTTCATTGGATATGATTCTGTCTGTGTTTATTAAATTGTAATGTAAATGTAATGAGATTTCAGTTCCAAAGTGAAGATCATGCACAAAAATTTACCGTTTAAACTTAATAATCTTAGAATCTCTCATGTAAGTGACTGGGTTTTTCAGAACAGAATGTAACCAGTATTTCCAAGTAGTGTTAGCAAATCCAGTATCATTCAGTGTATCTGCCTTTCTGGGTCTGAATATATATCTCCAATTATATTTTAACTTCTGTATGAAATATGGTAACTAACTGATGACTCTAGGTGAACTTTTGTTTGCAGAGAGTCTAGAAGAATTTCAGGATTAACAGACACGTTTGGGTTATTTTGCAGATGTTTTCCCCACCTGTTAATAGTGGGAAAACCAGACCAACGACATTGGGAAGCAGTCAGTTCAGTGGATCGGGTAAGATGATGTCTAAAATAAGAAATTCATATTTTGGTGTTGTGATACATTTTAGTAGGAAAATAAAAAGTATCTTAATATCTTTCTTCATGCCATTCTTGAGTGTCCAGTTAAAATTATAAACAAAAACAAGCCCTAAATGAGGGCTGTCGCTCTAAGGATCAGTTAACATTTCTATAAGCATTTCAATATGGATTTAAAGTTGTTCTCTATTCTGTGAATTTTTAAGGTGAAAATTGTCTTGTTTGAGTACAAGGGATTATATTATGTCTCTGTATTTAGAAAAGTACCAGAAGAAAATGTCTGTGGTCCATGTGTGGTCTTTTTTTAAAAATGTTTATTTAAATATGTGTATTTTTAAATTTTGCTAAAATTTCTACCCATTAGCATTATTAAACCCTTGGGTTCTAAAGAACTGGTAAAATAATATTATTTAATATGTGTATGTGAAAAGTAGAATTGAGTCAAGCCATAATCAGTGAGACTTATTTATTTTAAAAGATGGCCGTTCCCTTGAAAGTGTACAGCAGATTAACAATTTTGTGGACAGTATTTAAAATAATGGAATAAATGTTACAGGTAAATGAATGGAAAGATTTGTTTTCAAATGACACTTTTTAGATGACTGATTTCTGTCCTACGATCAGATTATATTAGAAAAATGTTTAGAGTAGTTTCAATTAGATTCCTGTTCCAACACTCGTGCTGGCATCTTCAAATTTACTTTCTGTATATTTATAATTACTATGCTGCATTATTAACATTTATCTCATATGTTTAAAATATGCATTTTTTTTGTTTTCCTAACTTATTTAAACTCATGATTTAAAAAAATAAACATTCCAGAAGCAAGGTCCATTCTAGTGTACAAAAGCTATAATTTTCTTTTAACTTAAATATATTCCTTAGTGCTGACAGATGAAAAAAAATTAAAGCCAGGACAGCATCATCTTAAGAAAATCAGCTGTCAAATCTCTGGGCTGAAACTCAGTAATTCCTCTTTGACTAGTGCTGCTTATTTCTCCTAGTAAAATGATAGTTGATTTCTTAAGATATTGTAAGAGCAAAACATCAGAAAAGAGGTTAATTTTATAACCAATGTAACACTTATACCACTTTGTGTTTAAAAAATGTCTCTATTTAAAAATCATATACTAATTTAATTTACCAAAATACATTGTTAATAATGAAATTGCAGTGTATGGGGAAAATATAGTATGTTGTTTAACACCTCAAATAAGTAAAATAAAAGCATTTTGGATTTTAAGTATCCTAAAGGCTAATATTATCCTTAAACAAAAGGGTGTCATAAAATGTCAGCCAAACCCCAACTCTTTTCCTACCTCCTTGTAAATAGAAGTGTCAATCATTTGAAAATTGTTACTTTTTTGAGAGAGAAGGAAGAAAATTATTGGTTAATATAGAAGGAGGTTGTGTTCCCTTTCTTTACTGCTGTTTTGAGTACATCTCAATTTTTGCAACTAATAATTCATTCTCAGGAACTTTCAAATTTACTTTGTCTCATACAATACATAGTAGATGCTTAGCATATTTCATTAAATGAGTAGTGATATTGCTGTTTCAGGCTGTTAGTTCCAGCTTGAATTGTGGAACATATATTTAACTGACATTCATTGATATCAAGGACAGGAACTTCAGAAACTTGCTATTAGAAATACTTTCTGTTTTTAGAATAAGGGCAATTATTTTTTTTTCACTTTTTAAAATTTAAGAAGGTATGATTTAAGTAGTCTGTGAAATTAAAAAGTATGTGTGAACTTGGTGTGTGTTACAAGCAGGGCATTGGAGCAGTTGTGGGCCCTTCTTTCTGTAGCCTGCATTATACAAAGAAAAAAATTATTTTTGTACATTGTAGAAGTGCTCATAGTGTTTGATTCTTTGGAGTAGGAAATTTTTAGTTTTAAACCTGATTTGTTATTTATCCTTTGAAAGTTTGAACTTAAACAGCTGTATTCAGTGGACATAGTAATATTTATCTGTGTGATTTATTTTAAATTCCAGGAAGAAATTATACTTTAGAAAGAGCTATGATATTTAATCATTAGTGAATCATTTCAAGTTTTGAGGAAGGGAAATTGGCTTAAGTGATTGTTGTCTATCAAAGTATACTGGTAGACACAGTTTTCTTATAGCCGTTTCTTATCTTAAAGGAAATGTCTAAAAGAAATTGATATACAATATTACTTTATTTGCATACTTTATTGATATTTGAATAATCTGTCCTGATTTCAAAGGGTATGTAATATGTTCTAATGCCTGTTTATTTGCAGCATGTAAGGAGCTAAAGATCTGACTTTTCTTCTGAAGAGCTGACTTAAAGATTAGAGTTTTCTTGTCTTTGGAGTAGCATTTGTAAAATCCCAGCCTTTTTTCCTCATGAAAACTATAATTGTTCAATATAGTTTCCTTTCTTGATTATTTGTCCTTTTTGAGGATGACTTCACAGTGGGCTTTTTTGAGAAATAATATGTAACAGTTTTAGAATTCTTTTACCTGAAAGCATACAATATATGCCATAGTGCATTGTCGTTTTTTTATTGTATTCTTAAAGCAAAACAAATAACTCGTAGGATAGCTGACACTTCATCAAAAGTCACTATGGAAAAGATGAACGTGTATTTATTATTACTTATTTGTCTTGAAGAATCTGTTATAATGCCATTTCTCTCTCAAGTTGTTAATTTTCTTTATATTATGATAAGACTGAATTTGTCTGCTTGGGATGATAGTGTGTGGGATGTTCTTACAGTGACCTTGAGAGAGGCGTTTCTGTGTGTAGGAGTCAAAGGTGAGGCACTGTGTTAGGGCAGTGTGTACAAGGAAAGCTTGTTGAAAGGATTGACAACATGGAAATAGTTCTGGTGTTCAAATGTCCCCTCCAGCTTCAGGGTTTGAGTGTATAGAACTAAACTGTGATATCGGGTTTAATTTTTAGTAGTTTAGATGTTTACGTGATATCTGAAAAGTTTTCTTTGTTAGTTTTTGAATCCAAGTAATGAGATGTTGGAAGGGAGTGGGATATATTTATTTTGTAAACCATCTGTATATGTTAAGTCTGTCTGTCT